CACCCGCCGCATCGCGGCATCAGCAGGATACTTCCTAGCGCTTAGAGAGATTTGGACGACTCGAGAGACGGAGACGCAGAGAGAGTCGACGCGTTGCACTGTTTCATTGAGTGGGTTGGGTCCTGGTGCGAATACTATGTACATTTGGTCGCGCCACTTCGCACGATCGATGCTGCACAGCATGTGTTATGAGAATTCCTTGCTCCCAGGGATAGTTTGCCCTCCGCGCGTCTTCGGACGTATTAGTGCCGAACAGGTATCACATTTGTATTAGGAGGGCCAAATAACCCGCGGAACCAAGTTTTCTGTAAAGTAGTCCCTAGTACCTTCATTTCTGCTCCTCGTTCTGATTTTTCGGAGCCCTCGGGCATCGCCCTGCACCCATTATTTCAGTGCGTGTAATTTTTGAACACGGCTGTTTCTCTGCGATTTTCTCCGGTAGGTTTCGCTTGCGCGATTACATCGCCGTGACATACACTGCCAATCCAATAGCCTCTATGGTGTGTTCTTCCGCTCTTAGCTCAAACTCTCTTGTGTGATCATTGCAGCCAAATTTATAACAATTCATCTAGGAGCAAGAAGTCATTACCCTAGCGGCGATCGATAATTCAAGCGCTTCTAAACTCCTCGGCACGTCACTATCTGTTCCTTGTTGTCCGGTACTTTCTTTTGTAGACGTCTTGACCCTTCTGGTAGTAGACCTTGAGATTTTTATGTATTCATTTTGAATAACTCATACGGGCTGCTTCTATTTTCGCACACTTATTTAAATACCTGAAGGCATTCAACTTAGGAATTAGGGACCATCTTAAGCTTTGTACTGGTTTTTGATAACGTTGGCTCATTTTTTAGTCACAATAATTTCACATTTATATAGGGCGTACAGCGCGTGCAACCACTTGAAGTTAGATAACTGCTAACTTTTCTTTTGGCCAATTATCATTTCTGAGCAAGCCACTCAGATGGGGGGGGGAGCTCCCCACAATTTAATGAGATCTGTTTTCATAGTGTTATCTCTGAATCGCCAAATTTCACCGTTGTATTTTGAGTCGGTTTCCCTTTGCCTTTCTCTCAAATTTTTGCCATCTTCTGTCCCTTAGTAATTCAGGATTTCCTTAAGTTGTACAGTCGTTATTACTAACGGGGCATGTAAGTGGGTTGTGGGTTTTAAAGCGGCGGCAACCTCTCCTTCGTCCCTCAGTGCTCCTCGGAGGTCGCAACGATCCATGGGAAACGTGCCGACGCCGTCTCAAAGCCATGTACCACTGACACGCCCCGATTAATTCCAGTGATAACAAAGACTGCACATGGTAGTATCAAGCCAAAAACAAGTGTGGTGCAGATGATAACTCTTGAATTTAGTATTTCATGTATGTGTATGTACATGGACATGTACCCTTATTATTGATCTCTTGGGAAATCGATTATTGATTTGTTGTCATCATTACACGCAATAGATTGCTTTGTATCAATTCATCCATGTGGAAATTCTGGCGCATTCTGTACTTTATCTGATGTCCTTTGGACGCAATCCCTTTTCTTGTCGAACGGAAGCGTTCTTGTTTCACTGTCCGCTCCTTTATCATTGCTGGATAACTTGATACATTGTTCTCTGAAATGCTCAACTAAATTTTCCTCAGTTTGTTCGGAATTGTTTGTGGTGAGAGTGAAACAGAGGTAGAGGGGTGAATAACGTAATCAATGTCAACGTTTTCTGCCATCCAAGACTTTTTTACAGATCGTTAGAAAAAATTCCCACCATTTTAAAAGGGAAT